GAAAGCTTTTAAATGCGAAAAATAAAATCCTAAATTATTACAACACAATTATGGGATGGGGGGTACAAATGTTCAAATGGGGATATTTTAGCAAGAAATTTAAATCTAAACTATTACAATCCAAATGGAATTTACAAGGTATTTAATTGTACAATAATTAAATAAAATAAAATAAATATGTAAGATGCAAAAAATGATTTTTATATGTATGTAAAAATGTTTTTCATGTGACAAATAAACAAAAATAAAAAGGTTAATTTTTTTGGGTATTTTCATGTTTAGGGCAAAACCCTAATTTGCTAAATAAAATGTATTAATTATTTATTATATACAACATTTATTAATTATATACAAAAAATAAATAAAAGAAAGTATATTGTAAACAAAAAGTATTTTTGAGGTTAAATATTAATAAAAATAAAAATGTATTATTTTTATGTTTTTTTCTTAAATATTCTAATAAATATATAAGTATTTATATTATTTACTAAATATATTAAATATATACAAAAATAAAATATTTATTATTTACTAAAAAGAGTATATTTTTAGAAAATGTTTTCAAAAGATAAAATAAAATAAAATTAGAAAACAAAATGTGTTTGTATTATTTTTGTATTTTTTGAATAAAAGGCAATATGTTTATTTACATGTATAAATTCAAATAAAACAAACAAAAATCCAAATAAAATGCAAAAATGGTTGAAAAAATGTTTTTAATATTTTTTTATATTTTGGAAAAAAATAATAAGTCAGAAACAAAAAGAAAAAGTCAAAAAATGATAAAAATAAACAAAATGGGCCAAGGGGGTGCAAGTGTGGAAAAGTGGTGCAAATAGAAAAAAGGTCAGGCCCAGCCCAGAAGAACTTTGTCTTCAACCTCTGGACATTCAAACAGAACAAAACGCGCGCTTCCTGCTATCTCATGATTCTTTGACATTCAGCAAAAACTTACAACAGCAATGTTATAGAGCATCTTGTCACGATTTCAAATATATAAAAAAATCATTCTAACTCAGAAATGAGAGAGAATTTCTTCTCCCCCAATTCCTGACCTAAGTTTTTTCCAATGTTCATGTCTTAAATTCTCTCAGCACATGCAATATAAATGGAAAGTGAGGATATGGGTGGCTTCAGGGACATGAGTATGACATAACTTCTTCACAAACCTAAGCCTAGATATGTCTGGATTAAGAGATAGGAGTTCAAACTTTTACCTGTTCAGCTTGATTCGTGTATGACAATGGAGGTACTTTCAATGCAATGTGAGGACTTATATAGCTTGCTTGAAGTTCAGGGATGCTTCTCCAATGCTTGGTGTGCTTTGAATCTTGCTGTATCAAGCTACAGAAGTCAACCTGCAAGAGAGAAAAGTAAAAATGGCAAACTTGGCTATGACTGTTACAGTTCCAGTTCAATGCTTGGGATAGCTTCGATGGATGATAGGGAGTGTGTATGAAGTGGTTTGGATGAAAATGCACGATGGAAATGAGCTGGCCAAGTCAAAATGCAGAATGCCCTGTTTTGTGCAGCAAAATGGTGATTTTCTGTATGAGGAGGGATCAAGGGTTATTTGGTCGTGTTTTAGGTTGGTTAGGGAGTATGGAAAGTGTGGAGAAAGTTTTCTTAGGCTTCTATTGACAGGAATGTGAGTTGTTATTCAATATGCAAGTTTCTTCTCTCTTAAGTCAAAAAATGACAAGTCTTGTTACAAGCTTATGCAGGCCCCCTAAACATGCTGCAAAGTTGGTTCTTGATCAGTGGGATATGTCCATGCCTTTGTGCCTCAGAGATTTGAATTGTACTTCTTGGATTTGTGTTTGACATAAAGTGTAACTTTACAAGAATAGATAAAATGTTTTTTCTAATTATGGACTAATCCTTCATGTAATGACCAAATGCATAGAATAACATCTTGGCACAATGGTTTAGCATTGAATTATTGAGTAAGAAAGGGATTAGAGGCCTGTAACCTAGCTTGCACATGCTGATTTCAAAAATACCCAAGTTATGAACATGAAAATGGCCATGAACAAAGTGACTTTTGCCCATATTGACAAATTCGATTCTCCCTAACCACAAGGGTGTTTGAGAAGTTCTTGGACAATTTGGAAATCTTGGAATGTGTACTACAATCCATCTTTGTAATGCAAGTTGAGATTCCAAGTGGAAGCATGTGAAAAGTGATCATGAAGTTAGGCAAAAATCCTGCCTAGAATAGGTCAAAATTTTTCTAAGTTAAGAATGTTTTGCACCCTTGTTCCAAAAATCATAACTTGAGCTACAAGATTCTTTTGAGGAAACTTTGTGAATCAAAGTTGTATATTTTACAATGGACTTCAACTTTAATGTTTTGAGTTTTGTTTGAATCCAAATGTATCTTGATGAAAAGATGGGACAAAGTTAGGAAAAAATTAGGAATTTTCATAACTTAGAAAAATTCTAAGTTATGAAAATTCTTCATTTCAAACCCTAATTTGTAATTCTTGATTTCTTGATGAACAAGTTTCATAATTTGACATGTCTTGATGAAAAATGAATCTTGACACTTGATTTTGACCAAAAAGTCAAAGTTTGACTTTTCAGTATACAGTCAAATTTGACTCAGTTGACTGGAAAATTCATCTGTCAATCTTGTGCATTTGGGATCTTTTGAACTTGTTGAACATGTCAAGACAATGCCATTGGGTCCTTGAGTCCATATGTGAGCTTGGTTTGCCATTGGCTAGGTCAAACAGTCAAAAATTGCCTTTGTGCAGTCAAAACCCTAAAAATGACCATTTTGCCTTTTTGGTGATCTGATCAAATTTCTTGTGGAATTGTGATCCAAACTTGATCAAATGATCCATATGAGTTCATAATGTTGATGTGGGTCAAAAACCATGAGGTTTGACTGTCAATTGACTACAGTTGACTTTTTCCCCAATACAGCTGATTTCTAGGTCAACTGTCTAATTGACTGGGCAAAGATTGGAATCAAGGCTTGAAACTTGGCATGGATAAACTTGTGAGTCCAACATGGAGCATGAAAGTCACTTTGGGAATTTTAGGTCAAAACATATTTGTGCAAACTCAAACCCTAATTTGGGTCAACTGTGCAAGGAGAAGTCTTGAGCAGAGCAAACCCTAACTTGATCTTAAGCTCCAAGGGTCTTGTGATGAGAAATGTTGAGGAAATGGGAGGGAAAATTTTGGGGTACAACAACATGACTTAAAACTGTGTATTTTGGCCCTTTTAACGTATTTATGTCCAGGAGACTGCGCTAAGCGGCACAAATCCCGCTAAGCGGTAGCAGAAATATATTTTGTTTCTGCCATAACTTGAGAACCGTAACTCTGATTTACGCACGGTTTGAAGTGTTGGAAAGCTTATTCAATAATTTATCTAACAATGCCTAAATATCAACCAAAACGATAGTTTTTCTCATCCTTGTTTTGAGCCTTATTTTTTGATGAATTGATAAAAAATGAATTCTTGAAGCTTAGCCTTTGGCCTTTTACTCAATGCTCCAACCATATATATATATATATACCTACAAAAGAGATGAAAAACTATCAAACCATACAATATTTACACAAAAACATGGCTATACTCAATATGTACAAATACACACACAAATTGAGGTTTATTCAAAGGATTACAACAAAATGAGTCGATAAGTGCCACTAAAATATACACAAATATAACAATTATTTTGAACTTATCAGCTATACACTAAGGGATTGAGTTTAACAGTTTTGTTAATTCGCCATAGGATTAGAGCAACAATATCAGTTATGAAATACATCAGACATCAAAAGTAGAGAAATAGAGAATTTTATACAAAACCTAACCGCTTTCGTAATCTTGTCAGAATAAACTTTTATTCTTTTTCGCATTAAAACTCGAAGTCCCTCATTAGTATTTTCTAAACATTGCACAATTATTGTCTTGTTAAATAACAGTCCCTATGAATTGGATCTTTTTATTACTTCGACATTGTCAATACACTTGTCAAGAAGTAATCAAATTTTATATATTCTAAAGTTGATCATTCTCTTTACACCAAAGTCACTTCCTCCCGTTTCACCAAAGTTACTTCATCCAATTTTTGTGTCTTACTTGATTCCTTTGGAAATCAAAGAAACAAAATATCTTCTACTGAGAAAGAGTACATGTCCTTGACATCTCTTATATGTGAGGTACAATGACTTCAACACTTATTAAGAGATCTTCAAATCTACTTAGATAATCAATCAACAATCACTTTCCATGAAAGAACCAAGTATATTGAACTTCATTCGTGAGAAGATAAATTCCACTCATTCACCTTCTATGTTTCCAACACTAATCAATTGGCGAATGTCATTACCAAGCCCTTGCATCAATCGACTTTAGCTTCAATTTTATTCATGTTGAGACTTTGTGCTATATACGGTCCGGGGTGTTAAATATATTGAGCCATTATTTACTTTGGTTTAATCCCCTTTCTAAGCCCATTAACCATTTCAAATTTGGTTATGAGTTTGTTAGTGGATTAGTTAGGCTAAATGTACTTTTAAGCCTATTAATATAAAGGCTAAATCTCTAGTTTCCTTTTTGTAAGCAAGAAACATTTTTTCGCCATTCATGCTTCCTCCGTGTGCAAGTACTCATGCACTAGATGGAAATCGTAATGACTCTAACTCGTACTGACTTTCGCGTACATTTCGTACATCCAATGAGACATGGCGTACTCATCTGCATTATTCAACATATGAACACCAACCATATGTAGTATGTTTGTCAGCAGCTCAAATTAAGGAACATTAATAATGAGCCCTTCTCCTACCTACCAACCAATATATGTTACAAATTAAGACTGACATAAGGTTGTTGTCAGCCATTTTTTTGGCTGCAACCATGTCACATAGTTAAGGACTTTGACCCTTCAATGAGAAAAAATATAAATGAAAGTAACATTATTAATTCAAACTGAGTACATTTTCTGTTTCTGTTGGTTTCATGAATTCAGCAAGTGCTAGAGAGTGTCGTATTCATCTTCATCTTGATCAGAATCAGACAACTCTGCAGACTCAATTTCAGAATTGCTAGTGTCGATACCACCTTGATCAGCCGCGAGTTTTGGATGGACTTGCGGCTGCATCAACCAAGATAACAGGTATGGAAGCGATGGAGTTCGAACACGATAACCAAACACCTTTTTGATGTCAAACAGGTCTTGAGTTTTGGAAAGGCTAGTTGCTTCTGATAGAATCTTCATTGAGTAACATAAAAGCAACCAAAGAGGCCTCCAAGTTTGACCATTAGGAAGCACTTTGTGTCCATCTCTATTCCTTCTACAAGAAGGATGATTCTCAACAAGTGCAACAGGATTCATCACACTCGGATTCATAATACGCTCATCGCGAATAGCTTGTCCCACGGCTTGTTGAATCGCGCCACTTCTCTGAGTCACAAACACATCATAACTCAATGGTGCCTAGAATCAGACACATCGTCTCCATCAACTGAAAGTTACACAGTACAACTAAACTACTCATTCAAAGAAATACAAACACTAAAGATATATAAACATTCTAACTCGCTACTTCTATAAAACTTTCACATAAAACTAATGAAATTAGTTGTACCATAAAAATCTATCACATAAAATGCATACAAAAAACAATCTAGGAGTTCATTGTACCATGTTAAGGGATACATACATCGTGTTTTTTGAGAGTGAAAATGAAATGTTACCTTGTTTCTGTTCAGTGACAAGTAGAACATCTTCATCTTCTGGTTTTTCCATTGTCGTGAAAACGAGACTCTGTTGTTGTGTGAACGAAATGTGTTAATAACGAATATTGGAAAAAGAGACACTTATTCAAATGAGTTTGTTTCTCAACAGTCGAGACTCAACACGATACAAGGCAACACTTCACATTGCTATTGGCTGTGCTGTCTTTAGAATTTAGTTATTTTTGGAAAAATATTTAAATATGGTAAAACAATACCAATATAAAATTATTCCTAAATTATTAGTTTATAATGGTAAAACAATACCTTTATTTTAATATTTCAATTTGCCATGATATAAAACTAATATTTTAATTATATTCTTATATATTTATTGCACTCATTTTTAAATTTTTTGATTTAATTTTCTACATTTTATTTATGAATAATAATTTATAAAATAATTTATATATTTTTATATATAATTAATTATATTACTATTTTTGCCATTAAATTTCTAATTGATCTGAAAGATGATTTATTGAGATATATGGTGGAGTTTCATTGTAACGGGAAGTTAACTGAAGGAATCAATAGCACGTTTATTATTTTTGATTTCTAAAGTTGCTAGCCCGCACCGAGTGGCGGACTTTCGGCCCACCTCACTAGTTAGGTGTTTGTATAAAGTATTGGCAAAATTGTTGGCAAATAGATTGAGAGATGTGATCGGGGGGCTGATTTCAGACTCTCCATAAGCTTTTACAGCTGGTAGACAAATTCTCGATGGAATTCTTATAGCTAATGAAGTTGTAGATGAAGCTCGGAAAAAGAAGAAAGATTTACTCTTGTTTAAAGTGGATTTTGAAAAAATTTATGATTCAGTGGATTGGGGTTATTTGAAGAGAGTGATGGTTCGAATGTAATTTCCTGAGTTATGGGTGAAGTGGATGAATGAATGTGTAACTACAGCTTTAGCTTCGGTGTTAGTTAATGGTAGCTCAATTGAGGAATTTAGGTTGGAAAAAGGTTTGCTCTAGGGTGATCCGTTATCACCTTTTCTCTTCTTAATTGCGACAGAGGGTTTTAGTGTTTTGATAAATGCTATATTGTACAGGAGGGCATGTTTACAGGGTATAAAGTAGGAAATGAGGATGGGGGATCAATTTTTCATCTTCAGTTTGCAGATGATACTCTTTTGACGAGGGTGAAAAGTTGGGCTAATGTGAGGGCTCTCAAACTGGTATTGTTATTGTTTGAAGCTATTTCAGGTTTAAAGGTGAATTTTCATAAGAGCAAGTTGGTGGAAGTTAATATTCTTAATTCTTGGTTGAAAGAGACATTTATGGTGTTAAATTGTGAGTTGGGTGTTATTCCTTTTGTGTATTTGGGTCTGCCTATTAGAGGTAATTCTCAGAAGTTAAACTTTTGGCAACCGGTGTTGAAAATTACTAGAAAAAGGTTATCGGGTTGGAAGTGTCGTAATCTTTCTTTGGGAGGTGAAACAGCCTGTAAGAACAAGATTTGGTTCTACAATATTATCTTTGAGTTTTGATGATAACAAATGAGTATGATTGTATGAACAATTTTTTTATATTAATGTTTGTTATTGTTGAGTACTTAACAAACAGGTTTTGCTTCTGATGAATGGTGTGGCCAAGATATTAAAAGAGAATTGATTATGTTTCTATGCTACACAAGTTTAATTGAACAGTAGCAAGACATTCCAGAAGGCTCTGAAGTGTAAACCCTGATAATTGTCTAAAGAAACCACTCAAAATATCTGAAGACAGAAGTTGTTACTTATGTCCAGATGTTGAAGACTCAAGCTTCTAAAGACAATATGTTCTAAGGAAACCAGACAGAAGACTTGAAGACATAAGTTGTTACTTACGTCCAGATGTTAAAGACTCACGTTTCTAAAAGACAGTGTTTTTAAAGAAACAAAGTTAGAAGATCTGAAGACAAAGTTTCTACTGAAGTCCAGATGCTAAAAACTTAGTTTCTAAAAGACAACTTGTTCCAAAGAAGACAATGTTAAAAGATCCGAAGATAATATTTCTAACGAAAGTATAGATGCTAAAGACTTTGTGTTTCTAGTAACAAGGTTCTGAATATAAGGATTCTTGAAGAACCAAGTGCTAAAGATTCTAAAATAGAAGGTCTGAAGATTCCAAAGACTTGAAGTTCTAAAAGTCCAAGGTTATTTCTAAATAGGTTTTGAAGACCAAGTGCTGAAGACTCTAAAGACGCAGTTCTTAAAGACTCTGAAGACTTGAAGCTCTTCTGATTTAAAGATTCACTACAATGGGTTCTCAAGACCAAGTGTTGAATACTCTAAAGACGCAGTTCTGAAGACCTTATGTTATATTCCCGCTTCTAATCTCATGCTCGCAGAAGTCTCTGAAGTGTAGAAGAAAAAATATAACGGTAACATAGTACAATAGTACAAAGTACGAAAAGCTTTATGCCACTACCTCTCTGTTGTACCCCAAAATTTGCCCTCCCTTTCTTCAGGAAACCATCTTAGATTTTTCAAAGTCCCCTGAAACAAATCCAAGTCCTGGGTTATCCTTTTGCCCAAGCAAGTCACTTACAAGAGCAAGATGATCTCACAAACTCCAGAAACAACGCTTTCATCTTGAGGAAAATCAAATTCTAAGTGCTTAGAATGTTTCTTTAAAATAAGTGTTTTTAGAAAAATCAGCGCTTCAGAACTTCTGGACCCATTCCAGATGAAGACGGTCAGAAGTTGCAAGCTTGGCTCAGCGTGGTCAGAAGTTGGCTCTTCAGCAGCTACATCAGTTCAATCAGAAGTTATAAACGTGGTTCAGAATGTAAGTCTCAAATAGAATATGCCCCTTCAGCAGTTACACAAGCTCAGTCAGAATTTGCTAAAGGAATGCAAGAGAAACAGGAAAGTATGAAGACTCCTTCAGAACAGGTTGAAATCAGAAGATGAAAGGTCAGAAGGATAGGTGTCACATTGGTACAGAATCTCTAAGTCCAGATTGTCCAGAAGTAGATCCAAGGAACGTACCAGAAAACCAGGAGAATCTCCAGAGTTTGCTAAGACAACAGGTAGCCAAGGCCAGAGCATGGTTTACGCTGCTGATTCAACGCTGGTTTCCCTTACCAGAATGGTGGTATTGACAGGTCTTGTCACTATTTAATGCCCATTAATGCTTCCAACCACTCCTGAGCATTCACGTGTGGCTTGGAAAATGCTTTTGCACAGATTCTGGCATGGGTCTTCACGCCACCGCCCACTTCAGAGGTCACTTCTCCCCAATCTACGCCTGCTGCTGCTACCTAGGCTAAAAGATAGCTGTTATCACAACTTCCCAGGAATTTCTGTCAAAGAACAAATTCAAAACTCTGTTGGCGCCTTAAATGTTCAAGGCATCCACAAGAACTTTGCCTATAAATAGAGAGCTTTCACCACTGCAAAAAACGTTCAAGAAAAAAGAAACAGAAAAATTGCTAAGAGAGAAACGAAACTCCTAGCAACATAACATTCTGAAACTCTGTCAAAATCCCCAGCTTTGTTTCATAACTTTAAGTTTCTTACCTTCAACTTCATCAAACATCCAGCTCTTTTCTGTAAACCAAAAACGTTCTTTCCAAACTTCTGACCCTATACACGTATACACCTTCACTTCCCCTTTTCCAAATCTGTCCAGAACACCACCAGAACCAAAAGCTAACTTTCACCCACCATTTTCCAGACAGTCAGGTAAGCACCTGCTGACTCTCACCACACTGTTAAGCATCATCAGCTGTGCATATTCAAGTAACATAATGTAAATATTCATGTTATTGTTGTTTATGTTCTGAGGATTCTCGTACCTCAGAATGTTCTGAGCCAGTATAGGACTTGCCTGTGGCCTTGGTGATTCTGACCTCTGAAACATTTTTGCTATTTTGCTGGATCTGTTCCAAATATGTTTCCTGTTTTGTGGAGTAACAACAGGATTGCAGATGTTCTGATCAGTACAGGAAAAAGCCAAGTGCTGACTTTGACGTTAGCACATCTGAAGCCTGTTTTGCTGTCAATGACATCAGAACCTCTGAGAGTTATTGCCTTTTCAGCAAAATCAGAACTTCTAGTTTCTCCACTAACAAACTTCTGTCTTGCAGTGCAGGGAAATCAGAACTTCTGATTTCCCCACTAACAAGGTTCTGTTTTGCAGGTTCTAGAGTCAGAAGTTCTGACTCATCCAGTTTCACCAACAGGTTGATCATCTGACAGCGGATCTGGGTCAGAACTTCTGATGGCCTCCCAACAGCGCGCGGGCTCCCTCTCTCTCTCTATATATCTTGTTTTTCGCTATTTTCTTTTTTGTCTATTTTTCTCGTTGAACCCCCCATGTATAAATGTGTATCCCCCTCCCCTAATTGTTGTAATAGCGTAGGATTTTACATTTCCGCTTCTTATTGCTAGTAATTAGGACGTGTATGACAAGATAAAATCAATGAAATAGAAAAACCTAATTCAAAGAAAAACTCTTGTATGCAATAAGATTCACAATCACACTTGCACCCCCTAGGGTTATATCCACTTGTTGCCTTTCAAAATTGGGCCATGTTGTATGTTGAACTTCTTTGGGCAAAGCAAACAATTTGAATGATCATAGTCCCTCGATAAAACCTTTCAAAACAAACAAAAACAAATGATCAAGTCCCTTAAGGAAAATGCCCAAAGATACTTGGCACCATTGCAATTATGGTCTAAACGATGACCCGCGCCCGTCCCTTTCACATCCTAACACAAGATTGTCCACCAAATACAATGGTGGAACAAAATTGTTAAAAGGGTCAAAAACATAACAAAACCTTTGAGAACTTTAGGGTAGATCGCTCTTAAGTACTTGTCAACTTGCAAAAATAAAAACACTTGCCTGTTTTTTAACACCTCACAACACTTTCAAAAACAACTTTAAAAAAAAAACAAATGAAAACCTTTTCAAAAGACATACACCTTTGTATACATCCCAACATGGATCATTACAAAGGTTGCCACCACATTGGCCTCTTTTCAAAACATTTTCAAACCCACACACACAAACACCATTT